GGGTGTTACAGCTCCTTTCAGCGTGAAGGTAGTGGGTTTTAAAAGAGCCTTTGGGACGTTTGGAAGTTGCAGAAGAGAGCTGAACTGAGCAGCCTGTAAACCCTTTCACCACGGATACGCCGGCGTAACTGGATGTCCTTGGGCAGGAGGTGACTCTCTTTTGCGTGACTGGCACACAGGTTAAAGTTAGTATTTTCAAAGAGCCCACCAATTCGCTGGCCTCCTATCGGTCCATAACGGCCGAGCTCTGGAAGCACAGATAGAAAGCGGTCGCCACAAGCTGGGTAGTCAATGTCATCCCTGCTCTCTCTCTTACTGCTGAACAACCATCACGCACACAAATCCCCGGAGATAAAGGGGCGGGATAATAGTTAACCCACAGAATGGGCTGAAACCCCTCTCGATCCTCGTATTTTGTGTTTTAATTTGCTGCTAGTTAGCTGGCGGCACAACTAACCTTCAGTAATTCTTCCCTCTGACTGTGGGGGCACTGCGCCCTCATGAGGGATCTAATTTCCTTCAGTCCTTCCCTATATAGATGAAAGACTGGAGTTCTTAAATAGTAATTACTTGCAATAAATGAAAGGATTAAATTTGTCTCGTTTCATCCTGATACATCTTCGAGCAAAAGAATCTATCTGGCTTAATATGCGGCGTTAAGGAGGATAACAGGACACAAGAATATCGCTTTCCTTGTCTCCCATCCCTCTTCGAAAAAGATCGCATGTGTGTTCCGTTTCCAATTAGATTGACTTGATTTTACAAAGGGGTTGTTCAAACCTCCTGCTTATCATTCCCATACCCTACCCCAAAATAACCCATTGGTGGCTTGTTTACAGGTTCTTCGAATTGCAAAGGGTATTTGTATGAAATATTTCTAAAGTTTGTCAGATAATCACCTCAAAGTGGGAAAGGAACTTGAAGCTAAAGTTTTAAATAGCAACTTTATATTTGAGTTTTCCTTTAGAAGTTAACAGGGAATACGTGCATTTTACAGGATTGGAAAACGCCACTCATTACATTAGAAAGCAGCTTACCTACAATAGTGTACCATCTCAGAACAACACTTAAATTATAGGCATGCTACAACTCCTTTAAGTGTAAATGTAGTGGCTCTTAAAAGAGCCTTTGGGTCATTTGGAAGATGGCTAAGCAGCTTTTAAGCTCTCTCGCCACGGATACGCCGGGCTAACTGGATGTCCTTGGGCATGATGGTGACTCTCTTGGCGTGAATAGCACACAGGTTAGTGTCTTCAAAGAGCCCCACCAAGTAGGCTTCGCTGGCCTCCTGCAGGGCCATAACGGCCGAACTCTGGAAGCGCAAGTCGGTCTTGAAGTCCTGGGCGATTTCACGGACCAGGCGCTGGAAGGGCAGCTTGCGGATGAGCAGCTCAGTAGATTTCTGGTAGCGGCGGATCTCTCGCAGGGCCACAGTGCCGGGCCGGTAGCGATGAGGCTTCTTCACTCCCCCAGTCGCAGGCGCGCTCTTCCGGGCAGCTTTAGTGGCCAACTGCTTACGGGGGGCTTTGCCACCGGTGGATTTACGGGCGGTCTGCTTGGTCCTGGCCATTCTCAGCAACCCTCGCTCCCAACTCGGAGACAAACAGCACAAAAGAACAAAGTAAGGCAGAGCCCCTCGGCTCCGGCGGTATATATAGCCCAAGCCTCCTTTCTGATTGGTTGTTGACATGGAGCCAGCTATCATTGGACAATTTGAACATTTGAAAAGCCCGCGCTTGTGCAGCCAGCCATCCGACCCGCCCTTCCCTACCGCCAGTGTCGCTCCGACAAGATTCGCGCAAACCGGCTTTCAACGGTCAGGTCACTAAACCCGCGCTCTCTGGATGTCCCCATAATCCGTTTCTTGCGGTCCCTCTCTCTGAAACTCCGCCGCCCCTCCCCCACTTTCTATCTCATCTCTCTCTCTCTCATTTAAATCGGTGACTCGTCGTCTCATTATTTCACTTCCAAACGGGCCAAATCTCTGATACCGAACATTATTCCCGCTTCTTCGCTGTACTGTATCTTACATACGAACAACCTGAACGAGCACGAATCCCCGGAAGAGAACACTGAAACAACAGGATGTGTCGACTGCATAGGAAGTCTCTTCGTCTGCTAATTATAGGCTTTTAGAAGGTGACAGTGTCCTACGATTCTTCCTCTCGGACTGAGAAGCGCTGCCTCCTTATGAAGGAAGGACCTCTTTACTCCCCTTCAGTCCTGCCTTAAGCTTCAGAGGAGACCACGTATCAGCTGTAATTCTTAAAGACATCTTCTCATACCCCCCCCCCCATGTCGTCTCTACAAAAATGGAAAAGCGTGTATGAAATAAGGGACCTGGTGGAACAGAGCGGGAAATAAATCTCTTTTGCTTTCCCCAAATGGGGGGCGGGGGGGGGGGAGAGAGAAGAAACGGACGCTAGTGTTTTTAGTCAGTCAGAGTGGACTTTACTGTATTTTAGCCATCAATTGTTTGTCGTGACGTTTGCAGGACTATCAGGACGCGGATAAGGCAGCAAAAAGGTCTTCCCGAGAAACCCAAGCTGTTCTTCCTCTCGTTACCCAGAAAGCTGACGAAACAGATTTTGGAAAAGAAGAAAAAAAAGTCGTCCGTAACCTTTTAACCACAGGGTTTAATCATTCCCCCCCCGCCCCCAGTAAAAGAGCATTAATACTTCTCATCTCACGTGATGTACGATTTAGGTCAAGTGAGAAAATAGAATACCCCCCAAACTTAAAGTACGCTTAATTTCACACACACACACACACACACACACACACACACACACACACACACACAGAGCGGTTTCAGAAACAGACCACTAGCACTTAAGCTCTCATTGTGAAAGTGTGGGTGGCTCTTAAAAGAGCCTTTGTTTTTGAAGATGTTTCAACTTTAAAGCGGGATGAAAACTTAGCCCCCGAATCCGTAGAGAGTGCGACCCTGGCGTTTCAGAGCGTACACCACGTCCATGGCTGTCACAGTCTTTCGCTTGGCATGTTCAGTGTAAGTGACAGCGTCGCGGATCACGTTCTCTAGAAATACTTTCAGTACGCCTCGGGTTTCTTCATATATCAATCCAGAAATACGCTTTACACCACCACGGCGCGCCAAACGACGAATAGCCGGTTTCGTAATACCTTGGATGTTATCACGAAGCACCTTCCGATGGCGCTTAGCACCCCCTTTTCCCAAACCCTTACCACCTTTGCCACGACCAGACATGATGCTAAGACCTGCGAAACGCTCTGCTTAGAAAATCAGAATAAGTAGGCTGTGTTAGCTCATTGTGCTCGCTGTATATTGTCTGGGTGCCGACCTGTTTGAGAACTGTCAAAGAAAGGGGTGGAGCCTTGGCCCTGTTTTCCACCGCACCCCACCTCCTCCGGTTGCAGCTGCCTGCATGAGGCGTGCTTTAGAAGAAAAGAGGCGGGTTATTGAGTTTGCTGTCCGCCCCTCCCCTTCTCTTCTCTTCCCGCCCACCCTGCTCTAGTTACATTCCCCGAGATTTGATTTAAAGAAGGAAGATAAAATAGATAGATTCGTTTGTAATACTGAGACACACTGTCCAAATTAGATGATCACAATGATCCCTTCTGGCCTTGGAATCTCTGAAAAAGTCATGCTTTCAGTAGTTAGGATTGCAATGCAACCCCGCGGTTTCAGGCAATATCGTCCGTCTCTGTGAATTGTGTAAAATAAGAGCCACTTTCCAACTGAATTTTTTATTTGTCCTTAGCTTATAATCTTCCTTTCTGGAGGGTCTTCCATCAAGAGGTCTTCCTATTTGTGGCCATTTTTTCAAACCCTCCCCTGATTTTCAAGCATTTACAGACGGCATCAAAAACTGA